ATTCATGCCAGTTGACACAACATTGTGACATTAACCAAAACCGGTTATTAATATTATTAGCTTATCAATAAATGTATCAAAATCAAAATAAAAAGAGGAAACAAAATGAGGTAATAATTTTGCAAAAAATGGAAGTTTTTCTACTCTTTTTCCTCTTTCTTTCATTAATAGTTCTTCGCATTTTCTTTTCTACTAAAAAAAAAACAAAATGAATGAATGATATATTCAAACCAAACACTCTGTTTCTTTCTGGTTTAGATGAAAATAATCCAATGATTAGTTTGGAATGAAATACACGAAAGGAAATCCATCACTTGGCCAACATTTAATGAAAAAAAAAGCCAAGCAAAAAAAAAACTCCCAAGATTATTCATTCATTTGCATATCATGGAAAAATACCTTATCATTATTTCATATCTGAAGCAAAAGGAAACGAAAACTCATTTTCTTTTTATCTTCCGATTCTTAATTAATGGAAGCGAAAATTTTTAATTAACAATTTCCCATTTTTAACTGATGAAAGAAAAATTTTTTTTTCAAATTGATAATTAATCATTTCATTTCAACAAATTCAATTAAGCAAGTTGAAGCTAGCTTATTTTTAATTTCGAAACGTGTTTTATCCAGCAGCCTCAGCAATGTTTTTTTTACCATCATACTTCAATTTTTCGGATGTATTTCTTTTGCTGCAAATTAATTTTTCATTTTTCTTTCTTTGGATTAATCATATTTCAAAGTCCTTCTATATCAGTTATGAATATTTTCTTATGGTGTGATTATAAAATTTGCAAAATACAACAATTAATTTTTCTTTCTGAAATATAAATATTACGATAAAAATTTAAGTTGAATTTAAATTGGAAATGTTCCCTATCGCCATGATATTCTATATCACTCCCAAAACAAACTAATTAAAATGAAAAAAAATGCAACGGTTTTATTTTAATGCTAAATCAGTTTAATTTAAGATGGAAAAACATTATTTAAACATAGAATAAACAAAACTTACTCCGTCAAATTAATTAACAAATCATTCCTTTAACTGCCCTATTAATCCTACAAATTATTTCTTCTTTCAATCAAAATTCTCAATTTTCGTAATTCATTTTGAAATTTCATATTTTTTAACAGTATCTGAACATATTATTAATTTAAATAAGAGACGATGACAATAAATATTGTCAAAATCGATAAAACGATAATTATCGGCATACTGGCTTTTCCGTTTTTGCATTTTTTTTCTTTCAGGGAATTAATTCCAGCGTTAAGTAGTTCAACTTTCAAATCTCTCAATATGAACATTTTCTAAACAATAATTTGTGACATAATATGCAAAATGGCCTGTTTGATAATATGCGTTGATTTTAATTTGATTTGTTGATAAAAGAAAAAAGTGAAATAAAATAAAATAAAACGAAAATCTTTCCAAAATATTTTAGAAATGAAATGACGTTCTCATCAAAATAATCATTATTTCATGCTAAAATGTTTTCTTTACCAGTTTTGAACTACACTTTGAAGTAAACAACACTATCAAGTTCTCACGTTTTCATTTTAGCTCTATTTTCTCCCGTTCAATTCCTTTATATTTATAAATTAACAAATTATTAAAAGGATAATTTAATTGGGAGGGAAATTCTTTCTCTTCATTTCTCATTGTACCATTTCTTTTTTCTTCTTTTTTTTCACTAAACACCATACACTGGAATATTTGAAATCATTATCGAAGATCTAACCTACCTGAACTAAGCAGTAATAAATATGTTTTGAATTTGCATGAACTGGGCAGCAATAATAACTATACGTTAGATATACGTGAATTGGGCGGCAATAGCAACTATACGTAAGATTTACGTAAAATAAGCGAAATTATGCTAGAATATTAAATAAAAATTATCCACGGCTTAATTTTCATTAAGTGAGCTATCGTCTTAGATGAATCATTATTGTGAAGAAATCATTTTTCGAAATGGGATAATTTTTTTTTTTTTATTTTGCAATTTCTAAACATCAACTATTCCTGTTTTATTAATTTTATGACATAAGCAAATATGTGCAGTAAAATATGCGACATAGGATGTGATCAACTGGTTTTCAACATAGTTTATGATGTTTCAGATCAAAATTCATGAGAAGTAAGAATCAAGTTTTAGAAATGTACATTCACGTTCTCATAACCCTAAGGTTATCAATCTACTTGGTTGTTTATTTAGTTGTTAATGATAGACGAGTGAACTTTCCATTTTAAAAATTTCATTCTACTACTTAACAAATGTCACCTAACAACCAATTAAATCTTACTAAATATCATCAGTGCAAATTTAAAATTTAATTTGGAGTGCTTTCATGTCATAGTAACGAATGGTTTCGCATCACTAATTCTTTTTCATTTATATCATCATCTTACATGAATTTTTTCACTTTTTATTCAACTATTTGATAGGACTCTTTTTTTTCTCGTTTTTTTTTTTTGAAATCGACTGAAATAAATGAAACATTCAATTATTGATAATTATTTTGTTCATTCATTTATATGCAAATCGATTAATCTATAATGTTATCTTATTTAAATTAAATATTTTCCTTCATTAAGAAAAGAAAAAGGAAAAAACAAACAAACAGTTTGCATTTTATTTTCATTTTTTTTCAGGAATTTTTATCGGTAATTATATTAATATAATCATTCTTTAATTATTTTCAACTTTCCACATACATTTTTCTTTCCACTTTATCTTTTTTTTTTTATATTCCATTTTTAAAGGAAATTTCACAGTCCCTTGAAATGCTCCTTTTGGATAATTTTTATGATATTTGAAACATTTTATCATTATGCATCACTCCTTACTTTAAAGAAAAAAAAGAAATTCTCTCAAATGGTATATTATTGAAACTGAAAAGTACTTCAAATGAAAAATACAATCCAACCAATTTCATCCTAATACAAAAAATGATAACGACTGATAAATATAGCAAGTACTTCTGGGAATTGTGTTTAAATTGAGAACATATTGTCACTTACCACTGATTAAAATTGGATAATCCTTGTCATTAATTACCGATTTGAATGATTAAATGATATATACATATATAGACATTAAAGGATTTAGCAAATACTCATTATTGATTAGTTGTAATGTTATCACTATTATCACTACAGAGATATTTTGATTACCAACACGATTTATGTTTCATTTATTGTGAAATGATAAATTTTTATTTCGAGAGAGAATGATAAGAGAGCGAATTTGAGTTGATGCAGAAAATAGAAAGTGTTTGATAAGACTTTGACGAATAAAACATGAGGACAGACAGAGGATGACGAAACTAATAAAATGAAATAATTTGGTTAGAATATTTGAGCAATGATCAAAGATGAAAGAGAAGAAAATGTGAAATCATTGAGTGTGAAAGAAAAAAAAAATGTGAAATCATTGAGTGTGAAAGAAAGGTTACTTTAATTGGTTAATTTTAAATGTTTGAAAAATATGCAAAGTCGTTCAATACTTACAATGAATTTAGACTTAATAAAAAAAGAAGGAAACATTTCAAAAAGAAGGAAATATTCAAAGAAAAAAGAGAAAAAGAAAAAGAAAAAAGAAGAAAGAGAAAGAAGAAATGTAAGACCCTACAAAAAAAGAAAAGAGAAATGCGGAAAAACATGAGACGGGAATGTAATTTGATGAAAAAAATTGCTTATGCAAATGTCTTGTACCAATGCTAAGAACCTAAAATAGCTAAACCATTTAACATTTCTTTTCATTTTTATCAAATTTTTCTTTACTGGAATAC